TCCCGGTCTTTCAGCAGGTCAGCCTGATATGCTTAGAGCATCACCATCGTGTGCAATGAAGCGACAGCCCGACCTGCTGCTGCTGCGTATGCCCTGACATCCGAGCGAGATGTCAAGGAGGGGAGTCTTAGAGGAAAAAAACGGCCTCTTCCATTCCTTCTCAATGTTTATATGGAAAACAGGAAGAAAGGAAGGCTCACCTGAGGCTGGAGGGTTATAGCCAGAAAAATAACGTTCATCGAGATTCGTGACGTCACTTTCTTCACCCGCTTCACAGCAAGTAAAGCCTCGCCGTGGTGCGATCCATAACTTTCAAAACCTCATCATACGCAGGGCAGGAGGATTGGGAAGGCTCAGCCTCAGCTTCTTTGCCCTCCTCAGACATTTCCTGCTTTTGCTGGGCTGATCCCAGCAGAGCACTGGCCCCTGAATCAGACAATGTTAATGAAATAACATCATCCTCCAGCGGCTCACTCTCGTGCACAGCCGACGATTACGAAAGGGAAACCCCTCTTCAAACTCATCGGCCAGATCCACCTGCGATCCCCACGAGCTCATTCTCCTCCATGCCTCAGCAGCCCTGAATCGCGGGAAGCAGATGGCTGCCTGTCTTTCCTCGAAAAAGAGACAAACAAGAGCGGAGCTTTTTCCCTTGGAAAAAACGCCCGCAGTGCACGCCGATTGCCCCCTCGGAGACATCGCGTATTCCCCATAGGGGAAAATCGGAAATATTTTTAATATTGCTGTCAAATGACAAAGTTTCCTTCTGGATTATCTTAACTGCACAAGTTTTATAGTTAATAAAATCTTTAAGAACAAATTACATCAATTATACTTTAATTTCCTTCAATAAAAAGGAAATTGAGTAAAACGGTGTAAAAGGTTTGTGGACGTGGATTCCCTGATAGCAACAGACTCCGGGGCGGATCCGCCCTCAAGTCGGCAGCTCCGCTGTACTGTCAGACTCTGTTCGGTCATTCGCCCAGAATATGCCCCGCCTCCGGACAGCGCACTGTCAGTTAGCGCACTCATTACGGGCACGGCGCGGATTAGCGATCCGAACGCGCTTTTTTTTTTTTTTTTTTACCAGTGCCGTCTCAGAAATCCTCCTCAGAGTAGAGAAGCTGCGGCTGGCCAGGTTGAAGAAGACTGAACTCGGTAAGAATACTTTAAAAATATGCAGTTGCCAGTAACATTAACGTTAATAAAGTTGTCAATTGCTTTGTTGTAGTTTTTAATTTTTGAAATTGCGTTGTGGAATGTTCAGTTAAGGTTAGCTCTTCAGCATTATTAGCATTATCATAGATTTGAGTAATTTACTTTAATAATAGGCCTATTTGGATGGGATCTCCCTTCTTTCTGGGAGACAGATAGTTTAGTTGGCTATCAGGATTTTAATCGTATATGTAACGTTAGGTAATTTTCCACCCCTCTTCAGGAATAACTGCAGGTGAGAATAAACTTTTTTTTTTCATTTAAATTTGGTTCTAGAATATTAGTTCAAGTCTATTTTTTTTTATATTTCGACAAATATATTAATCCGTGTATCATTCGATCATTCGTTTTTTGATTTAATATTGAAAATAGAAAAATGAGAAAATGGCTCCTTTTTCTTTTTTTCCAAAAAACGAGAATTCAGCTTAAATTTATGTTTTTCGTTCATGGGTGGAAAAATGAATAAACAGCTTGAATATTCGATTTCTACATGTGGGCGGGAATTAAACGCCCCTTTCTGCTGATTGGTCAGCCGAAGATCAAACCGTGCCATCATCAGTTCTTCTGCAGTATCATGCAGCAGAATAATAGCCCTCCACTGCTGCAGTTGTACGGATTAATAACCCATTTTATCAATTTAAAATTTTTCATCAAACAAACAGACTAATGAATAGCTGGACACAACTCGTACCGGGGCAGAGTCTAGACAGTTCTTTCTTCTGTGTAGACCAGCGGTTCTTAAAGTGATGGGGGGTCCGCAAAATAATTTGCTATAGCCTAAAGTATTTCCAGACTGTAAAGTCGTTTTTTTTTAAGTCTGTTTGATGAGAAAAATATGAAATTAATAAAATGGGTTATTAATCCGTACAACTGCAGCAGCAGAGGACTATTATTCTGCTGCGTGATACTGCACAAGAACTGATGACGGCACGGTTTGATCTTCGGCTGACCAATCAGCAGAAAGGGCGTTTAGTTCCCGCCCACATGTAGAAATCGAATATTCAAGCTGTTTATTCATTTTTCCACCTATGAACGAAAAACGAAAATTTAAGCTGCATTCTCGTTTCTCATTTTTTGGAGAAAAACAAAAAAAAGGAGCCGTTTTCTAATTTTTCTATTTTCAATATTAAATCAAAAAATGAATGATCGAATGATACACGGATTTATATTCCCCACCTCTCCTCGTAATGTTGTTTTAGTACATATGAAATAAACTAGCGGACTCGTTACGGAGGCTGGACGGATTCGCAATCCGAACGCGCTTTTTTCTAACAGTCGAGTCTCTGAAATCAAATCCTCCTCAGAGTGGAGAAACTGCGACCGGCCAGTTTGAAGAGGACTGAACACGGCAAGAATACTGTTTAAATATGCTTTATATGTACAGTATGTACAGTTGCCAGTAACATTAAGGTTAATAAAGTAGTTAATTGCTTCGTTGTGGAACGTTAGCTCTTCAGCACATTAGCATTATCGTAGATTTGAGTAATATCAGGCCTATTTAGACGGGATCTCCTTCTTTTTGTGAGACACGGTAGTCCTGAGCATATAACGTTATGTAACGTTAGGTAATTTTTCACCCCTCTTCAGGATAACTGCAGGCGATATGCTATATTTTTCATTTAATTTTGGTTCTGGAATATTAGCTCAAGTCTATTTTTGTTTATATTTTGACAAATACATTCCTCACCTCTTGCAATGTTGTTTCAGATAATGTATATGCAATTAAAAAATACTAAGATACTGTGTGTGTGTGTGTGTGTGTGTTCTGTTGCAGCTTCACAGCTCATTCAAGTGCTCCAGTCTGGTTTTTGATTCTAAATCAACCTTCGATATTCTACTTCATCTTTAAAAGTAAGATTAAATTACTTTTT